AATGTATACTAGTGGTAAGTAAAAAATAGAAAATTCTCACCTGAGCTTCAGTGAATAATGCTGGCCACTTTAAGAATAAACACACCCACAGAGGGGCTGAGGCTGACCACTTCAATTTCTTTGATCCGTTTTCACTTCTGTTGACACTGTAGGCTATCAACTGTAAATTAAAAAAAGAAACATTTCAGTAAACATCCTATTAAAAAAAAAAAAAACATTAAATATAACAGCTATAGATGGCAGGTGCATTCTGAGGTTTAGGTAGCATGTTAGCTTAGCACACATCAATACACTACAATTTATGAGATTATAAAACCATGTTTTTGCTCCAAAATTACATAATGCATGTCGATTGCTTTAAATAACCTTCTGTGATCTGACTTGGCTTTGGATAAAAAAAACGGACATAAAATATTGTATTTTATAGTATTCTGGACTATCAAAGATTATATCGATTAACATTAACTTACATTATAAATGTAATATATTATGAAGTTATCTGCATGGCTTGAAGAACACAAATAATGCGTCATATATCGTTGCAATCATGTTATCTGTAAGTATTCAGCGATCTTTGGAAACTTTGTTGTGGTTTCAGGTGTCACAGGTCATGTGGCTCTTCTTCGTGATATATTATGTAGTAGCGTTATAAATTATGTGCACACGACGCCCGCCGGCTGCCAGTGTGTATTGAAAACACACTACATCCGAGGAGTATCCAGCGCTATGATTACATCGGCCCATTTTGGTGTATTCAATAAATATAATTCCTCTAACGTTATACAGAAATCTGACAGAAACCTATAATAATCAATAAATATTTCTCAGAATCTGCATATTTTTGAGCTGAAAGCACTTGTTTGGTCGAGCTCTGTCATGACGACGACAGAGGTATTTATGAATGGGAGCGGATGAATGACGCACATAATTCATATTAAAAACGCCATCGACTGTTTTTTATTGCATACTCCTGAAATTAATTAATATGGTCACTATAAGTTTCTCAGAAACAGTGGTCAAATACTGAAACCTGAGTCTTATATATGTTTAATAATGTATAATTTGTCAAGGTAATCACATTAAATCTGATAGTAACTTTGAAAATCTGTGCCAACGGCCGACCGTCGTCGGCTTGATGTGTCCCCATGGTGACGCCATCGACAGATTCAAACTTTAATTTCAAGTAATGACATGTTAAACAAACGAAAGCCCAATAAAGCGAAGTGTAATGTCTCATAATTAAAAATATATATATGCACTCCTATGTTAATAGCTTACCTTCACTTCTGCTGTTCGATGGCAGCCAGAGAGAGGATCCAGCGTCGCCCACACTCACTCAAAAAGAAACCGCGGGCCTACGCATGCGCAATTTAAAGCAAAAAACTCACGTTTTGGGGGTATATTTTACTCCATTTTTCTATGTGATGATTCTTACTGTTGATGAATGGGTAGCATATGTAGAATTTACCCATTACTTTAGGATTCGTTGGCTGCCTGCAATAATCATGTACATTTTATATGGTTTCCACAGATTATATTTACCACTCGACAAAATCACTTTTTTCAGTGCACTAATGATATACAAACTTCGATATCAAGAGGCACTGTTATGGAAGGAAAGGCTCAAGTTCCATTTCTGCCTAATGTTTTCCTCTGATTCCCACTGATGTGCTATATTCAGCATTCCGTGGTTAGTCCACATAAGATTTTTTTTTTAGCAATTAATATTAATTTTAGCAAATTTATAAACTCATATGCAGACATAGAAGATAAAAAAACATTAGCTTTATATTTTAATGAATCATTTCTCATCACTTTGCACTAAAATATGAGACAATCAAGGGAACATTATTTATTCCTTATTAATACATAACAGTGTACATAATGAGATGTATATTGAATACATAGATACATCAGGCTACTAATTTATTTGAATATGATTATAGTGTATTGATCATTCCTGAAGCATTTAATTGCATATTATAAATATAGATACCAACACTCTTAAAAAATAATTAGGTTCTTTATTGACATCCATGGTTCCATGAAGAGCCTTTAGCCTCCATGGAACCTTTCAAATGCAAAAAGTTCTTACGATTATTAAAATGTTCTTAATACTAAGAAGAAGAAAAAAATAGGAAAAAATTTTATTTTAAGAATTTTTCACTGAAATGTTATTCTATGGCACAAAAATAGTTGTTATCTGATGGGCAAAATGTTTTTTTTTTTTACAACCACAAAGTTTATTTTACAGTTTTAACAGATGTTTTATTGTAAAATGCTATTGTAGATTTAAAGTCACACCAGATGTTGAATTGTCCAATCTGTGACCTTTGAGGTTCTGCTGAGATACACAGATGTGATTGTTATTTAGCCAATGTCCAGTTTCTGCAGGAAATTACTTCACCGAGACCAGGGGAACTTGGGTAAACATTTTATCCATCCTTTACGTAAAAATCCATAGCTGAGATGATGAGCAGGTCTCAGTTCTGAACAGTCACGTGAATCGTGCAGCTGAGCTGCATCACCAGCAGTTTTCACGTTTCTAACGTGTGAGAAAGAGTAATAAGAGTGAGATTGATTCTTTGATTTCACAGGACCATGTTCATGTTCTGCATTGTTGAGACATTCTTCAAATGCATTTTCTTCGAAAAACAACGATTCCCTTCTGCGTACGCTCGGACTTTCAGCAAGTGTCAGAAAGCCATACGGAGTGGTGATTTTGCAGAGGTGAGGTAAGGACATTGCTGCGCTGGTGGTCGGGTCTGACAGAACGTAAGTCTGGAGATCATCCACGAACACCAGGTCGCGCTCCTCAGAGAACGGGCAGCAGCGCGCGAGTGCTCGGACAAATGATGATGGGTGCGCGGACCGGGGGAAAGTGTGCCGCCGTCCGTGCCCGACACCAACCTTCTCCCTGCCGCATCCCTGCAGCCTACCTGGGCACAGTGAGGGGATGGTGAACTCCGGTACACTCGCAGGTGTCACCACCATATTCCTAAGAGGCACCTGCCTCGTTGCGGCCGGTTGAATCTCCCGAGAACTTGATTGCCACGATTTCCCTCGCTTAGGAGGTGCAAAATCACGAGCTGGACGATTTCTGCCCATTGGTCACATATGGCATAACTTTCAGCAGGGTAATTGTTTGTAAATAATATTTTCCGTCGAGCCAAATATTTTTTCCCTATCTGAGCTTTCTGGTTGTTGGTGGTATTTTCTCTGCAACTTTCCTAAAATTTTTTAGCTGCTTATGGAAGTCTAGATGAAGTCTTGCTCTGCAGAACAAAAATAAAAAACTTAAGTGGCAACTGATTCTGAAGGTAAATATAGCCTACAGTCCCCACTATAATTGACTCCTCCCAGTAGCCTATGAATTTTTATTTATTTTTTTTTCCAGCAGGGAAGACAATTTAGCCTGTTAAACACAAGGACATGTTCTCATTTTAACCTCTTAAAGGAGTAGCTCACTTTAAAAAAAAAAAAAAAAAAAAAAACTTTTGCTGATAATTTACTCACCCACCATGTCATCCAAGATATCCATGTCATTCTTTCTTCAGTCGAAAAGAAATTAAGATTTTTGGTAAGATAAGAAACACTCTGGATTTTTTCTCCAAATAAAAAAAGTGAAATAGAAAAAAGTTGTAGAAGTTTTAGTTTATGCAAATGTAAAATGTAAAAATGTAGCCTAATTATTCATATTTTATAAAATGTTTGTTTCAAAACCTGATGGACTCTAAAACTGCAAGAAAATCAAAGCCAAAACTCTGAACTAGTTGTGTTTCAAATTTTAAGTTGATATCTCAAAAATTAGCTTTCAGTAAGATTTTGTTTGGGTGCAGTACCAAACTTTTTCACTAGGTCACAACCATAGACTGTAAAAAGGGTCTATGGTCACAACACAAGCAGACTCCATTATGCCCATATAAGGGCACCTCAATTTCCATATCTTTTTTTTTTTTTTGG